ACACACACACACACACACACACACACACACACACACACACACACACACACACACACACACACAATGAAATGCTGCGACAAGTGCTTCAGTGCTGGAAGTGTGACTTCTTCATGAATGTTAACATTTAACACAGAAATACTCAAATATACAATTTACCAATATATTTCGGCAATGAATAGACAATATAAGTCACTGTAATTCTCCACTCAATATACATTACTACAGATCAATAGCATACCTGTTAAACTTCCTGTTTTTTCCCAGGATTCTCCCATATTTTACAGTTCTATCCCGCTATCTTCCCGTAAAGGTATTTTCCCGTATTTCTCCTGCATTTCAGTCTTTCTCTGAAGACGTCAATCTTGGTGGTTCATTTTTCAAACACAACTAATTTCATCTTGAATGAGCATAAAAATTAGGAAAGCAGATTTATTCGTTGATCTTTAATCAGAATGTGTGAGTTTGCCAATACAGAGAAGAAATGGCTAAGGACATTTGATAGCTTGATTCTATTTCTTTATAACAGCTATTAATTTTAATAAGCTGAACTATTTGCTAATGTATTTGCTGCTAATGTATATTTTCTTTTTTTCTGTTGTAAATAATAATAATAAAACATGTCAACTGTTTATTTACAATTTAACAGCTCTAAATGAACATATATATAGTAACTTTTTAAAGGGAGGGTCCCTTATTACGGTGGGCATATCACTTATTTTTGAATCCCAATGTTGACAGGTATACAATAGCAGTTATAAAACTCTTACTGCAGCAATAAACACAGTAACTAACATTAACTATTTTAAATTAACGTTACTATTATTATATAAATATTCTAACATTTTTATATATTATAATGAAGCTGTACTAACCCACATCACTGTTTCAAACTGTAAACACACACTAAATAAACGTTATTTTAATCTGTATGTATATCATATCTGTTTTATATGTATATAATCACAGGCGGCCTGTGTCGCCGCGATCTCCATTAACGGACGTCGGCGGCCTTCACTTGCACGTGCGCGCGGCCACAAGTCTGCTGCGAGTACGCTGATGCGGTTATTTTATACATTTAAACATACATATACAGCCCTCAAACACATTATATACACTGTTAAACACATATTAAACATAATATTCGATTCCACATCATACATCTTACCTGAAATACAAAACAAACACACACACAATGAAATGCCGTGACAAGTGCTTCAGTGCTGGCAGTGCGACTTCTTCATGAATGCGTGCGCCGGCTCACGTATTGCACACTCACCGCCCCCTAGCGTCACTCGCCAGGACATACAGGTTGAATGATGATGGGCATCTAATATTCAAAAAATTTATGGGAAGATCTATCATTGTATGTAAAAAAAAAAATCAGGTTTTAGTTGCAATTTGACCCCCAAAGACGTTATTTTTTATTTTGTTTCAAACTATTTATCTGTGGAATTTTTATTGAATCTTTTAATTTTGTTAGGTAAATTTCATGTTCATAAATGCAGGTTAAATAACTCTAAACTTTGTTTAAAGGTTGCTATTGCAGACTTTCATTGGTATATAGAATCGCTCCAATATATTAAGAGCAAAAAATGTATAAATACAATTATTGTGGCAAAGGAGCTGAAGTTAACTGATTAGTACTCTTGCTGTTAATCGGTTAAGTTAAAATATTATCATTGTAAAGATCTCTATGTTGAATTGTCTTTTTATTTGTTTAACTTATGTAATTTATTTTAATTTATGTTATCAGTTACTTTTGTATTTTTTGGATGTCATGTTTAAATTGTATATTTGTTGTTCAATAAAAAAAAATTAAAAAAATGATGATGGGCATAAACACATTATAACTAACCTGAACTTATTGCAACACTAATCCTAAATAATGACTTATCAATGCAAACACAACAGCTATATAAAAATACAATGAAACACAGGACTCCATACCTCTACATATACAGTACACTCATAAATCAAATACACTCATAAATGTATTAGTAATGTACTTGTAACAAACTACACTTTGTTAAAACTATTCATGTACGAACTTTCAGTTTTACTAAGTAAAAGGATAAAACAATACTAAATCAATTTTAAGAGGTTCCAATTTAGCCAACACTGGCTCATTCTGAAAACTTAGCCCTATAACCGTTTCTGTAGACCACAAATTATCTAGTTAGAGGTACAGATGGCTGTATTTTATTTTTTAAATGAACGACACGGGGCGGTTTGACATCGTTCCTTTTTGCACTTACCAGCTAACCGCTAACCTCCATACGGACGGTTTTCCCACTGTAACCAGTTTGTCCTGTTAGCTCTCCATGTACGACGGCGGACTTGAGACACAGAGAGTTGACCACGATGACAGGGTTCGAGTCCGTTGAAATGTTCCAGAAAGCAGGTAAAACAGAAAGTAAAAAATAAAATAACAGGGTGAGAATGTGGTAAACATGATAAAAAATAAGATGAGGGCTTTTCCTTTTCTGGATTGCTTTTGAAAATTGTTGTTTAGGTTTAGGTAAGTGGGTGGGTGGGTCAATCAATAAAATTGGTTGGGTTTAGGGAAGGAGGCTGAGTCAGTCGATCTGTCAGTCATTCAGTCAGTCAAGCAGTGGCCTCTGGTGGGTTTACACGAGAACAGCAGGCGTAAATAGTACTGGCAAGAGAAATTTGAGATCTCAAAAAGCGCATTCAGCAGCCTATCAGGGATTCTGGAAAACTAAAATTGCAAAAAAAAAAAAAAAGCTTACCCACCGGGACGTATTTCTGGGTCTCCAGAAATGTAGATAGAGGTACATATTTAGAAAAAGTCTTGGTTGAATTTATCACACAAAACTACACAAAACACAAAATTATGAGTTACTTTAATGTGAATAAAATTCAGATATATCTAAGCACAGAGTGTGTTCTTTCAAAATAAGATTAGTTAGCAAAGTTAGCCAATCAATAACACATTTGAAGTAGGCCTGACCAACCGAAAATTACAATATTATTAATTACTCACCATCATTTCGTTCCAATTTCCTAAGACCTTCATTCATCTTCAAAACACAAATGAACATTTTTTCAGGTGAAAAATGACAGCTCTGGTTTAAACTCTAAAATAGTACAACAAAACACCCTCAAACCAGCCCCTGCCTTCAGTAATCTAGTCAAAATCAAGCTACATAAATATTTTAGGGCAAAACAAAAATTGACTTTATTCAACAGCTTGTTTTCAGAGAGCTGCGCATTTGACCTTCCTCAAAAGCGATCAAATTCACACCAAAAGTATCTCGGTCACGGATCGAAAATCATAACATTAAAAATGTGAAAACACGTGTAAAATTATAAAACACAAAAACTAAATGTAGAATGAGAAAGAAAATGAGCGCAAACGTTTAAAATAACATTTATCTTGAATTTTAAAAACTATTAAACTGGAAAAGTTTGCCAAATTACAAAAAATGACTACTTATATATTTATATTTGTTTTTCATTTATTTATTTTATTCAAAAAGATGTTTTATTTATTTATTAATTTATTATTTACAACTTACAGGATGGGCGAAGCAGTGGCGCAGTAGGTAGCTGATTCGATCCTTGGCTCAGTTGGTGTTTCTGTGTGGAGTTTGCATGTTCTCTGTTCGCGTGGGTTTCCTCCGGGTGCTCTGGTTTCCGCCAAAGTCCAAAGACATGCGGTACAGGTGAATTGGGTAGGTTAAATTGTCCGTAGTGTGTGAATGAGTTTGGGTTGCGGCTGGAAGGGCATCCGCTGCGTAAAAAGGTGCTGGATAAGTGGGCGGTTCATTCCGCTGTGGCGACCCAAGATTAATAAAGGGACTAAGCCGACAAAAAAAATGAATGAATGAACTCACAGGATGAACAGGTGTCAGAACCAGCTCTGAAAATATACAGTTAAAGTCAAAAGGATTAGCCCTCCTGTTAAATTTTAATCTTTTAAAAATATTATCCAAGTGTTGTTTAACAGAGAGAAGATTTTTTAAACACATTTAAAACATAATTGTTTTATAGCGTATTTTCTAATTACTAATTTATTTTGTCTTTGCCATGACACATTTTCTAGTTATTTTGCAAGACAAGCTTTCAGCGTAAAGTTCAATAAACGGCTGGGTTATTATGTTATAGGCTAATTATGCAAGTTATTGGATAATTGTGTCACAAATATATGTTTATAATTATTTTAAAAAATATATTTAATCTGCTTTTATTTTAGCCAAACTAAAATAAATAAGATGAATAAATAATATGAAAAGATTATTACACTATATTATACTACTATAACTTGGGAAATAATTTCCAAAGAAATATATATATATATATATATATATATATATATATATATATATATATATATATATATATATATATATACATTGTGCTGCATTTTTGTTACATTTTCGCCAATATTTCTATATTATATAATAAATATTTATCAATAATTGTGTCTAGGCCTAAATGAGCGCCATATATGCTGACATATATTCCCCATATGGATAGCTACAATTCTTGATGTAATGTTTAGTATTTTATATTATATTACCACAATATTGTATATAATTACCAATATACTGGAAGTTCTTCAATATATATGTTAATAATAGATATTTTTGTAAGTGTATAGTCAATGGCTGTTTTTCCCCCAAACATACTTCAGTAATATATCTTTCTTTTTGCTCAACAGAAGAAAAAAAACTCAACCCGGTTTGGAACAAGTGGAGGATGATGACAGAATTTTCACTTTTGGGTTAACTTTCGAACTAAAACCTGATTTAAGAGTTAGTCAGTGAGAGCTGTGAGGATGTGTAAGTGCAGTACAATTAATTACAGCTCCATGCGTGCAAAGTCACGCTGTGATAATGTAAAATACATGTAACATTAGAATAAAAATATATGAAAGTTTATATATTAAATATTTGAAAGACACACAAGCTCCGCCCATTTCAACACCCTCCGCGGAAATGCCTTTCTACCTACTTGTGTTTTCTTTTTGTTCCCATAATGCTCTGCGGATTGACTAGCGGAAGTTTTATTTTATTTGTGTGTTATATTCAAACAATGAAGCTTAAAAGTTAATTTTTCGTATGCTTGAAATTCGGGGTTTCTTGGTTATTTGTGAAACGTTATTTAAATATGGGTAAGTTATGGTCTGTGGGCTATGCGGCTAGTGCTTCTGAGCCTGCAGATAATCTTGCATATATATCGCTAACTTATAAGTAAATATCACGTTGTGTGTATAATTTCTAAGTTGTTTAACTGAATTTTTAACGTTAAACAAACAGACAAAACCCTTCCAGTTTTAAACAGACACCACGATTCGTTTTTGTAAGCACGTGCTAAGCGTCGTAGCTTTATTTACAGTGAATCTACACTCACTGGCCATTTTATTAGGTACACTTTACCAGTACTGGGTTGGACCCTCTTTTGCCCTCAGAACTGCCTTAATTCTTCGTGGCATAGATTCAACAATGTACTGGAAATATTCCTCAGAGATTGTGGCCCATGTTGACATGAGAGCATCACGCAGTTGCTACAGATTTGTCGGCTGCACATCCATGATGCAAATCTCCCCTTCCACCACATCCCAAAAGTCCTCTATTGGATTGAGCTCTGGTGACTGTGGTGGCCATTTGAGTACAGTGAACTCATTGTCATGTTTTAGAAACCAGTCTGAGATGATTCACGCTTTGACATGGTGTTATCCTGCTGGAAGTAGCCATCAGAAGATGGATACACTGTGGTCATAAAGGGATGGACATGGTCAGCAACAATACTCAGATAGGCTGTGGCGTTGACACTAGAGATGCGCGGATGGGCTATTATTTCATCCGCAACCGCATGACAAAATTCATCATCCGTCCGCCATCCATCCGCAGTAACATTTTTGACCAATTTTTAAAACCGCACCCGCCCGCCATCTGCTGATTGGGCTCTTTATTTGAATGGCTTATTCCTTTTTTTATTAAATGAATGTTTCTTTATTGATCATTATATAATAGAGAATGACTTTAATGTAGACATGCAGTTAATCCAAACGTGCAAGTCATTAATTGACGACGCTTTGAAGTGACGCTAAAGATACGAGGACGTGTCTTTTCACTTGATTCGATTCCTCGGTCCTTGAGTCTTTGCGTCCTTCCCTCGTAACGTTATCCCGGTGGGGTGGAAACACGAGGAAAGAAAGCAAGGAAAGGAAACGAGGATGCACAAATAAGAAATGAGAAGCACCCGAGCTCTCAGAATATCAGCAGTGAACTCCGTCTCCAATCGGCGCACAGGGACAAAAGTAAATAAATGGCCTAAATTAAACGCACTGTACTATACAACTTTTTTTTTTTATTGTAGCCTAATAGAAAACGCATTGACACATCATTTCAACATGCTGCTATTAAGCCTACTACTAAATGCCTATTTCACTTTATTTTTTAGTAAATAGACAGAATAATAAGTCATTTACATTATAGCCTAATAATGTTTACATTTGTAGTTGTCCATAGCAACCCCAAAAACGTACCTGCTTGCCTTGCACATCTAATTAATGGGCACAGTTTTTCGACTATTTTTTATTTTTTGCTGTGGATGTTATTGAGCTTGCAGAAATCGGAAACAACACAGTTCTGCGACACAGATGAACCTTTATTGATATCTCTATCAGACAATACCTATTTTATATGCCAAAAGAAACAACAGGCAGTAAAAAAAATATTAACATAAATATCTTAATGTAGGCATAGGCTATAGTCGCATGCTTTGGCAAACAGTTGAAATTTTTTTAATAAAAACGTCATATCGTGCCTAAGCCTTGTAGGCTCAGTCACCCCCACAATTAGAAATTAAATTAGAAAAACAGATATGCCATCCCTCTTTGAGCGAACCTGACCAGGCTAAAGTGCATGTATGACAAGTGCCCCAATAACCCATGGATTTAGGATTATCCCCATTCCCCTCAAACTTGAAGCATAACGAAATACTATGCCATTAAAGTTGAACAAAGAAATTCTGGCAAAATAACCTTAGCCTCGGAACGTAAAAGCGAGGCCAACATGTCTAGAATAGAATAGGCTAAACCAATATGAACGTAAAATTATCAGCTGACCGAACTCAAAAGTTTATACTGAACATATGTGTAGCCTAAATAACATAGGCTAATTGGTTTAATATGCCTGACCTTAGGTCTAGTTTGATTTTTTCCTTGGCACAATGCAGGAATAAAATAGCATCTACAGTGTCAGGATTCAGACGGGAGCGCCTGCATAGCCACTATAATGCGCCCTGCTGCACTGAAGGAGCGCTCGCTCGCAGCACTTGTTGCTGAAATGCATAGAATTCTCTTGGAAAGGTGCTGTAGTGGGAATGCCTGGCCTTATTTCTCCCAAAAGGAAAGTAGATTTTCCTCTGCTGATCCGTCTATACTGAAGTTTGTAGAGGTATACTTCTGTACTTCATCCAGAATTAGTGTATCCGATTCCTCCTCCCATTCTGTGAAGTCAGTCCTTGGCTTTTTCGTTGGTGCGCCAGCTATGAATATAAAAACAGTACAACCGCCCGCCACCCGCCCGAATTTAATTAAAATATATTTTTTTCGTAACGTCATCCGCCCGATCCGCGGTTTATCCGCGGAGTCCGCGGCTATAACCGCCAACCGCGCATCTCTAGTTGACACAATGCTCAATTGGAACTAAGTGTGCTAAGAAAACATCCCCCACACCATTACACCACTAGCAGCAGCCTGAACCGTTGATGCAAGGTAAGATGGGTCCCTGTTTTGATGTTGTTGACGCCAAATTCTGACCCTACCATCTGAATGTCGCAGCAGAAATCGAGACTCATCAGACCAGGCAACGTTTTTCCAATCTTCTATTGTCCAATTTTGGTGAGCCTGAGTGAATTGTAGCCTCAGTTTCCTGTTCTTCGCTGACAAGAGTGGCACCCGGTGTGGTCTTCTGCTGCTGTAGCCCATCCGCTTCAAGAGTCGACGTGCAAGTTACTGTTGCCTTTCTATTAGCTGGAACCAGTCTGGCCATTCTCCTTTGACCTCTGGCGTCAACAAGGCATTTGCACCCACAGAACTGGTTATGATTCACTGGTCACTGGATATTTTCTCTTTTTCTGACCATTCTCTGTAAACCCTAGAGATTGATGTGCGAGAAAATTCAAGTAGATCAGCAGTTTCTGAAATACTCTAACCAGTCCATCTGGCACCAACAATGTGCCATGTTCAAAGTCACTTAAATCACTTTTCTTCCCCATTCTGATACTCGGTTTGAACTGCAGCAGATCATCTTAATCATGTCTGCATGCCTAAATGCATTGAGTTGCTGCCATGTAATTGGCTGATTAGAAATTAGCGTTAACGAGCAGTTGGACAGGTGGACCTAAAAAAATGAGTGAGTGAGTGTTGAATCTGTATATATACATATTATGCGTGCATATTTAGTATTTCCTGTCTTATCTTTTAGATACGTCATTTTGTGCATTCATTTAGGATATATTTGCGCTCCACAATATTGGAAAAAAATCTTAACATTGCAAAATTTAGTGATTCTGTGATATCTGTTGCGATATAGACACAATTTCACCGGATGACTTGAATATCTCTATTTGGAAAGAGTTTATGTTATGTTATGTTTATGTTATGTTATGTTATGTAACTATTGACGTTCATAGTAAGAAAAACAGATACTATGGAAGTGAATAGTTACATGTTTCCAACATTCTTCAAAATATCTTCTTTTGTGTTCAACAGAAGAAAGAAATCATTAGGGTTTAGAATAAGTGAAGGGGGAACGAATAATGACATTTATCCCTTAAATTTAGCTGAAGTACTAAAACTGCTTAATAATTCCAATTTAATAATAGAAATCTTAAGCTAACAAAATGGAAAACTTTAACAAATAAAATTTACTCATGATAATGATAATAAACAAAAAAAAAACTAAAAGCTAAAACTAAAAAATAATTAAATAAAAGGAATCGTTATTAAAGTTACAAATAATATTTTAAACATTTTCTTATGTCTGAATGCTTGTAAAATCACTCACAGGCCTCAAAAACACATGCAAATGATGAATTATAATTCAGAATCAACATTGCATATCCTGCGATGTGACTATTGAGATCACATTGCGATATTGATTACAATATTTTATATATATAAATATTTACAATATTTTGTGCAGCCATAATAATATGTAGCCTCTATATTGTTTTGTTGATCAGCGTCCAGTGACAGAGGCTCTGAGGAGGTGGATGGAGACAGTTGTGGATCCTCGCCAGAGTTGGACCGCAACCCTTCACCTCCACCTGAGGAAGATGAGACTGAAGCCACCGAGGAGGCGGACGCCATTGGCCAGACCATTTACAGCAAGCACTGGCTTTTCAGCACCCTGACCCGCCTAATACAGGTGTAATGATCAGTCATGTAAACTATTAAAATCCATTTTTAAATATGATTTGTATTCTAAAATTATGTTTAGGGCGACACGGTGGCTCAGTGGTTAGTACTGTCGCCTCGCAACAAGAAAGTCGCTGGTTTAAGTCCCAGCTGGGCCACTTGGCATTTCTGTGTGGAGTGTGCATGTTCTCCCCATGTTGGTGTGGGTTTCCTCCGTGTGATTCGGTTTCCCCACAGTCCAAAGACATGCGGTATAGGTGAATTGAAGAAACTACATTGGCCGTAGTGTATGAGTGTGTGAATGAGAGACTTTATGGTTGTTTGTTTCCCAGTACTGGGTTGCATCTGGAAGGGCACCCACTGCTTAAAACATATGCTGAATAAGTTGGTGGTTCATTCTGCTGTTGTTTTTTTTATATAGTTCACCTCCCAAAAATGTATATTTCCTTAGCTCACACTTAATTAGTTCTAACTTTAACGAATTTCTTACATCTGTTTATCACAAAACAAAATATTCTGAAGGATTTTGTGAAATTTATATAAAAAAAATTTGATATTGGCATCCATGGTAAGAAAAACAAAAATACTCAATGAGTAATGCTTTCCAGCATTTTTCAAAATATCTTCTTTTGCGTTGACCAGAAGAAAGAAACTCAATCAGGTTTGGAACCACTTGAGGATGAGTAAATGACAGAATTTACATTTTTTGTTCATACTATGACTTTAACCTTCATATTAAACTTAAATTAAGCATATATTTTAATAACCAAATATGATAAATGACATGCATTCTATCGTTTTTAATGTCTAACCAATTTAAAAATGCATGAAATAAGTCCAGAAAGCATGTAAACATACACATAAATGTATTCATTTACCATCTGTTTTGTTTAGGTTTTACTATTTTTGTTTTTTAAATCAGACACGCACTGTAAAAACTGCAGGGTTCCACACAATTTCAACTTGTTGTCCCAACACAAACCGATTGAGTTAACTTAATTGTTTTTACAAATTTAAGTTGATTGAACATAAAGCAGTGGCGAGGCAGTGGCGCAGTAGGTAGTACTGTCGCCTCACAGCAAGAAGGTCGCTGGTTCGAACCTCAGCTCAGTTGGTGTTTCTGTGTGGAGTTTGCATGTTCTCCCTGCCTTCGCATGGGTTTCCTCCGGGTGCTCCAGTTTCCCCCACACTCCAAAGACATGTGGTACAGGTGAATTGGGTAAGCTAAATTGTCCGTAGTGTGTGAGTGTGTGTGGATGTTTCCCAGAGATGGGTTGCGGCTGGAAGGGCATCCGCTGCGCAAAAACTTGCTGGATAAGCTGGCGGTTCATTCCGCTGTGGCGACCCCGGATTAATAAAGGGACTAAGCCGACAAGAAAATGAATGAATGAACATAAAACAATTAAGTTGTCAAGAATTGTTGATTCAGCTCATTATAAGTAAGTAGTTTAGCAAAAATTAAAAAAAAAGTAGTAGCAGCAAAAATATTTTTGAGTGATTGTATTTGATGTAGTTTATATATTTCATTTGAAAGTCATTTACTGAAAGTCACGTTGTATATGAATAAATGACAGTTTCTTAATTTTTGTTTATTTTCTGTTTAAAGTTTGCATGTTTATATTAAATGACACTTTAAGTTAAATAATGACCAAACAAATGGCCTAAAACAGATGGTGTCGGATCAAGAATGTGGGCCGAGTGATTCTTCAACAGAGCTGACGGATGATCTAGAAGAGGACTTGTGTAAAGTCTGGGATATGGCTATGGATAAGGTAAAGTCAGACTCCATTCATCACCCACTTCCAGTCCCGTTATCTCGAACACACGACACAACTTTCTGTCCAGGACGTGGCCATTTTTCTCCAGGAGTTCAAGGCTCCAGACATCTTACTGGGTGTGATTGCAAAGTCCCATAATCCTCGGCTCACTGTAAGTCTGGTTTTCACTGTAACTTCACACATTTCAATTGTTTTTTGGTGTTTATTTATCAGCTTCTTTGCTCTTTGACTTTGTTACAGGAGATCTGTGTTGGGATTCTGGGTAATATGGCCTGTTTTCATGACACGTGTGTTTCTCTCAGTCAGAACTCAGATTTAGGGTGAGATATAATTGGGTTTAATGCAAGAAAAATATTGTTTCTGCAATTTTTTTTTAATCTCTGCTTGATTATGCAGATGTAGTGTATTAAAATGTACCGTCATACCTTCTCTCTTCATTGAATGCTGTTTATCATAGTGCACTAAGATTCATAACTGACTGTAAACACAATTTTATTATATTTACTGACTCAATCTTGTCTACAAACATTAAGTAATTTTAAACTGGAGCATTCCAGTATTATTGACATTTTAATCAAAAGTGAATGAACGAAATTTGATTTGTTGAACTATTTGGAAAAAAAAAAAAATCAGACAAAGCTGCCAAAACAGCCCTAACAGCAAATGATAAAGGTGTGCAAAATTCCACCTTCATATTTAAAGCCACTAATGAAAGGCTATATTTTTAACCAATGGCAAGGAGATTGGGATCAGTGCTTAGAAAATAAACGTTTTGAAATCCAGCCAGAAATAGGAAGAAAATCTTATTATTTTTTGAAACTCAACCCATGATGAGATTGTTTACAGAAGATGTCGTATTGCACACACAAGACTCACACATGAACATTTACTCAAAGAAGAAGAACCCCAAAAATGCAAATATTGAGACACCAAACATTTAAACATATTCTTGTGGAATGCCTAATTTTAAATGTTATCAGACGATTTTTATCTGGAGAGACTTTAAATTAAACATTTTTAAATGTGACTTTAATCCTTCTAGAATTGTGCAGTTTTTATCAAAGGTTAACCTCAAAAAACTGTTTTAGATTTTGACCTTGTATATCATTATTTATGGATTTTATCTTGTGTATTATTTATTGATGTTGATGACTTTATTGGTAAAATATTTTTATAATTACAGAAAAGTGATATTTATAAAATGTGGTAAACTTGATCTGTTTTTTCAGCCAGAGAAACTGATATGGCAATAAACTCAAATCTAATAAAATCAAATATAAACAGAGTAGCTTATAGCCTTCTGAATAGAGGAAAGAACTGGATTGGTGTATGATTGTTTACAGGGCCATTTTCTCTGCTGTCTTATACAACAGAAAACTTTGGAGTATATATTTCCTCCGTTCTCAAAGTTTCTATACTCTCTCTGTTACTTATGTTCACACTGAATAGGCTTTTATGTATGCCGCTCGGTCTAGTTGGAAATGTCATCTGTCTAATCTGTTATACAAGTACTGGTTTCTTTTAGATCATTTTAAGGCAGTCACTCAGCAAATAAAGGGTGGTTTTATGATTTGTAATTGTTTTAATGTGTAGTTCGTTGTGTGAAGTACAGTATGTAAACTTGCTGCTCATTTTGGCCAGGACACTCCTGTGAAAGAGAGTATTAATCTTAGAGAGTTTTTTCTGGTTAAATAAAAATACTGTAAACACACAAACAGCATCTTTCACCTCAGTTTAAAGTATAGTTCAACCAAAACTGAAAATTCTGTCATCATTTACACACTTTTTAATTGTTCCAGACCTTTACGAGTTTCTTTATCTTGTTGAACACAAAAGAAGATATTTCAAAGAAAGCTGGAAACCTGTAACCACTGACTTTCATAGTAGTCGATGGTTACAGGTTTTCAGCTTTCTTCAACGCATCTTCTTTTGTGTTCAACAGGATGAAGAAACTCATTCAAGGTTCGGAACCGCTTGAGGGAGAGTAAATAGTTGGTACATTTTCCTGCTTGGGTGAAATGTTTCTTGATTCGTCTTTTCCTTTATAATTGTGGTTCGTTTTCTGTACATTTTAGCGCTGTTTTACTTCTGCTGCTCGGAGACAATGACCCTCCAACACTTTTGGAAACCTGCAGGTCAGAACTCGTGATTCTTTACTAAATGTATTTATCTGAATGATCATGTTTGTCTAATTAATGTCTCTGTGTGTGCGCGCGCATGCCTGTGCGTCAGGCTGCTGTTGACCTGTTTGTCTCAGGCTGACGTCGCCCCTGTGTGGCTGGAGAGGATACGGCAGCAGTCGGCGGTGTGCAGCAGTCTGTGCTTCATCATGAGCAGCTCCACCAACGGTCAGTGAAGCTGAGAATAGGAGAAAAAAAAATGTGCTTGAACATTGAAGTATATACTCTTTTTTTTTTTTTTTAATTTACACTTTTTTCACCTGATATTTATTTTTAAATATTAAAACTAGTGCTGTCAATCGATTAATTTTTTACTAATTAATCACACTTTTTTTGAAAATTAATCGCGCTTAATCGCATTTTAAAGACTGAAACTGGTAATTTTGGCTATTCAAATGTAAAATTAATGTAAATGCAAGACAAAAACTATTTAAATTCAAAATATAATTGTTTATTTGAATTTTTGTTTAACTTGTAACACAGATTTCTTCATGTAAACAACATACCCACAATAAACCATCAAGATCCTGGCTTGACAGCCATATTTATTACTGAAATAAAAACACAGGCATGTTAATGCCATTTGAACTTTAAAACAATCAATACCAATAAAGAAAACATTGATTTCCTAGTTGGGTTTTAAGTGGACTGCAAAAAAATGCCAAAATACAGGCATTGCAGATATAAATAATGGAAAATAATAATAATAATAATAATAAAGTATTGAATACAAACAATTGTACTCATTGTAAAGTTGTATTGCTGTGAGTTGAGAACATTAATTATAAAGTAGAAACAATTTTGCGCGCACGCACACACAGACCACCCGTGAACCAGGGGGTGGCCTGGTGGCTAGAGCCACTGCCCCTCTGCCCTCATTGGCTTAGGTGCCCCTCTCAGGAGGCATTTGCTCTTCACTTTGTGATCGCGTTGCAGCAGGGCTGCGCAGGAAGCGACTCCCTTCAGATTCAATACGCATGATCGCGTTCATCAAATTTGCTTCAACTAAGCGTTTTAAAGTATGGATGTATTTCACAAGGACTCTGAGACAACAACGCGAAGCATACGCTTTCATTGCGTTTAAGGAGGAAACAGGTCAAACTTACTGAAACATTGGAGGGCTCATGCTGAAAGCCATTGGAATGTCTTTGACAGCTCGTGACTTCATTGACACTTTTTAAGTAGCTTACATTTACATAAGACACCAATTCTCCGATTTAAATATGTTTAGGATAATACTCTTATTAAGAGTCTACAATGTAAGCAGCGATTTAATTACATTAAAGGACCACCGAGTCATGAAATGCGGAGGTTTTTCTTTCCGTTCGCCATGTGGCATCAAATTCCATTAAAACAGAGGTCGAAAGTTAAAAATGAAACACCTGAAATGGCATGAGACTCTGGAGAGCTTGGTGATGCGACATTAATTGTTTTATACTGAAACTTGCCTTTAAAAAGTGCTTCCTTATCCATATTTCTTTGCGTGTTTACCACACGTCGGCCACAACAGGAAGTAAAAAAAACCTGCACCTGCATTAATTGCGTAAATTTTTTTAATGCATTAATTATTTCAAATTAATCGCATGCATTAACGCACTAATTTTGACAGCACTAATTAAAACAAATTAATATGCAAGTTAATATTTAATGTTTTATAAAAATGTATTTAAAAAACATTGCAAGGGTATTACCTAGGTATTACCCATGTTGACACATGTCCTGATAAACCACACAACCCTATCTAAACACAAACAAACAATACACTATTTTTGTTTAAACTTGTTTCACTGTAAAATTGTTTTAAATATTATTATTATTAGTATCTTTATCATCATCATCCTTAACCTGTTTAATTATTTATTTTAAATTTGTGATTTGTGTGTTCATTAGCAATAAATAATAACATGATATTAAATACATTATTTTGCATTATTTTTAATATTATTTTTTTGTTAACATTTTGTTTTTGTTATTAGTAATGTCGTTTTTGATGAATTTATGTTTTCTATCATAAATTCTATCATATCATAAATAGGCCAATCATTTTGTATTTTATTTCTTAAAATAAAGTACTATAAATATTACATTTTTGATAGCTATAAATAAATTATTATTTAAAAATATAATAACTTATTAATTATTTATATAGTGTAGTTTATAGTATATTTATCTAATAATAATAAGTTAACACTAATTTATATATGAGCAATATCACACTTGTAGCAGTGCGATATGGATGTATATCAGCACTGGTGGGAGGCATGTGTTGGAACGAGGCCGCAGGCGTCCCACCAGTACTGATATACAGCCATGTCACACTGCTACGAATGTGATATTGCGTTTATACAACAGTTCGACAGCATATTTGTGTATATAATAAAAGAAAATCAAACACGGAGAGTCTGAAAACCCTTTTGTATTAGGAACTACTTTCTATCTCCATTTATTCACGTCTGCAGCTGACGTCAAAACAGCAGAAGCCGTTACTAATTTACCAATGTCACCTTAGAGCTAGTTTGTGAATGTTTCTCAAGCGTAATGTCTAAAGTGATATCAAAACAGGTGACTTTGCTGACATTTTAAGATTATAAGGCTGAACTTGACATGAAATGCTATCAGTCTACAGGGATATCTTCTCACAGTGTTACAGTTTACAGTATTTCTCTGTTGCAATCGGGATATCACAATAATTAACCCCGGAAAAACAGTGCAATCACTATCAGACTGCTGTTGTGTTTGCGATAAGGAGGGGATGTCCGGGGGTGAAGTCTCTGAATAACACTGTTGAGAACCGGGATAGGAAAGTAACTTTATTAAAATAGGCACTATCCTTATAAATAAACTGCATTTTTGCAATCTATACAAAAGAGAGAGATCGTCTTAGGGTGCTTTCACACCTACACTTTTGTTTCGGAACGTGTCTCGTTTGCCCAGTTAGCGCGGTTCGTTTGGCATATGTGAACAGGGCAATCGCGCTCTGTTCCGCGTCAAAGTAATCGCTCCGAGATCGCTTGAATGAGGTGGTCTCGGCTCAATTGAAACGAACCCTGGATCGGTTCGATTGCAGTGAGAAAGCGATCCGATCCGAGCGCGGTTATATCACAGTGTTTTATGGATATGTAATAGGCATATGAAGAGAGAATTATGAGTATGGCGGGAAGTTTAGCGAGTCTCCGGATGCCCGCAAACGAGTGATGATCTCCCGGTAATCTCGCATCTCCCTCCCGGTCCTCAAATAGGCATCATCGCGCACCCTTCTCACCCCTCCCCACCGCGTCTCTCCTCAGACACGTCGCGCGCACCCTGTCAATCACCACCAAACCACCACCTCTCCTGACAGTTTAGCGGGACGCTGCAAAATAAACCCTGACACTCTGACTAATGTAAGGACAGTTTACTCACACATGACTTGTTTTAGCTCTTTTGATCCAATTAGAAACTTTGCAGTGAAAGCGAACCGCTCCAAGAGCAAAGAGCAACAATGTAACAATTGTAATCTCTGTTTCGGAACAACTGAATCGATTCACAGGTGTGAAAGCACCCTTAGAATATCACTTACCAGTTTGATAATGATTTGATCAGCTGTAGTTAGAAATATGCTGTTTTAATCTTCTAAGCAAGGGCTTATTATGCAGTCCTGGCGCCATCTTGTGGATAGACAACGTCAACCAGCTTTGGCTAATTGATGCCGACGTGTTGTCTCCCAGAAATGATAAATATTTTAAAATAGGCATTTTATCTTATAAATAAACTGCATAGTTGCAATCTACACAACTACATTCTCGACTAAAAAAGCTTTAAAAGTACATTATGTTGTCTAATAGCTGCAATATTTGTCAAACTGTAAAGTGTCCTCTTGTCGCTGTATGTGGGCGGAGTAATACAGAAGAGTGAGGAGGCTGTACATATGCTGTAATTGCAGAATATGGCACGGCTATCAGCCAATCAGATTCAAGAACCAGACAAAACTGTTGTTTAAATAAAATATTATAGATTATTATATATATAATATTTACAACTATCAAAATGTGATATTTAGTAAGTACATTAATTTAAGTGTTACGTCGGGGAGTAACACCAACAACTCAGGTAAGATCCAATATGCAGGTTTATTCAAAGTCAGGCAAGCAATGGTCAACACAGGTGCAAACAGGTATTTGGAGACAGTCCAGAATCACAGTCGAATACAGGCTAGAGGTCAGAAAGGCAGGCGGCAGACAAAGAGGCTAATAAGGCTAACGGTCGGTACACAAGATAACAAGACTGGGAAAACGCGTTGTAGTGTTACTAGTGACAGATAACAAGACTCGGCAAACTAAAGGGGTGAATGTGTGGCTTAATTAGTGTGTGTTAATCGGTCTCTGACAATCTTCAGGTGGTGTGAATGTAATCAGTCTAGATGAGGAAGCATGTGTGAGTATGACCGGAGTGCATGTATGAATATGTAGTCCAGAAATGGTGGATTTGTAGTCCATGGTATTTGTAGGTGCAAACCAGCGATCTTATGGGAAATGATCGCTGGTAATCGTGACAGTAAGAAACAAAAACATGGTGTTTTAAAGAAAAATTCTAAAAAAATTCTAAAAATATTTATATATTAAAAAATGTAAAGGTGAACATTTATTAATAAATACTTTTGCTTCAATCAACTGATTATCAACTTGTATCAATTACAGTGAATTAATAGTACATATATACATATAATTATAATACAGTTACGTGATGTGTGTGAAAACCCTTTCAAACTCTTTTAATCACATGGTTACCTGTGTCTGTGAAGTTCGTGGACTCTTCCATGTGTCTGTATCTCCGCAGTGGATTTGCTGGTGAAGGTTGGGGAGTTGCTGGATAAGCTCTTCGATGAGGATGAGGAGCTGATGAAGAGCTGGGTGTCCACCTCACACAGCGGGACTGACCTGCAGACAGACAACCAGCCGGACATCCTGTCCTCTCTGCTGGAGGCCGCCAAGCAGCTCAGGTAAGACGCACAGTACAGGAAGACCTGCCGAGGGGATTACCAACCTGCGTTTTAGCTGGGAATCTGAGTTTAGGGTGATGGAAATGTGTGTTTGTGTGTGTTTTAGATCAGAGAGTCCGGAGGCTCTGGAAGTGTATCTGCATTCACTTCAGCTGCTGACTACAGTAGAGGAGGGCATGCAGGCTCTGGGTGAGATACACACACACACACACACACACACATTTTTTTATTTGTTTGTTTTTCTGTGTGGTTTATGATGACTTTTACTGAACATAATGATTTTTATATTGTACAGACTGTATATTATCTTACCCCATACCTCACAGAAAAGTAGTGGCTAATTTCAAATCTCAAAAAACTCTGTTTAGTACAATTTAAGTCTTTTGATTTATGAGAACACAATGTACATGTTGTAGTTCGGTATCAGTCTTTTATTTGTTTTAAAAATGTTAATAATAACCTTTATCAGGCCCGGATTGGCTAATCGGGAGGACCGGGAGAATTCCCGGTGGGCCGGTCTGTTTTTTGGCCGCGAGGGCCAGTGTCCCTAGCTGCTTGCACTCTCAGCAGTGATACTTTTTTCTTCTATTTATTTATTTGGCCAAAGCTTCACTCTTTTTATTCATTATTTTGCCGCAGTGCCGCTCTTTTTATTTATTTTCTCGCAGCCCCGTGAGAAAAATGTAGCCTGCAGGTTAACTAACATTAATGATGATGATGTAATGCAACTATCGACAGCGGCACCTTAGTGAATATAAGAATTTGAATAAAATGAATATTACACCTGCTCAATGAAAATCAAATGATTCACTACATTAAGAAATCTTACATAACTTGATCAGAAATCAAAAAATGGGAGAAAAAGATTGAGCCATCAAAAGAAAGTAGTGCTGTGTCTTAAGGGTCGCAAGTCATTAATTATTTTTTACTCTCACTGTAATAGCGCCATTGTGGTCCAGTGGTAAGCACGATGCGTTTCAAAGCCGCGGACCCGTGTTCGAATTTCCCCTGAAAAATTATTTTTTTCATTTTTATTGTTAAGACATAAAATACTGTTAGGGCTGTTGAACATTTGAATTTCTAAAGCAGCAGTTTTCTTGAAAAATACGTGATAGTGCCATTAGAAACTGAATTGGAATCAGTCGTGAACTGAGGTGGGCCGGTCTGGCTTGAAACTCCAGGGCTGAAAATGAGTCCCACTCCGGCCCTGATCGTTATATAATGATTTATTTATTCATCTAAATTATTTAATCATTTTCCTTCCGCTTAGTCCAGGGATGTTCAAGCTCGGTCCTGGAGCGCCGGTGTCCTGGAGATTTGAACTCCAACTTGCTTCAACACACCAGCCAGGAAGTTTCTAGTATATCTACAGTAGTAAGTGCTTGATTAGCTGTTCAGGTGTGTTTGATTAGGTTTGGAGCTAAAATCTGCAGGACACCGGCCCTCCAGGACCGAGTTTGGACACCCCTAGCTTAGTCCCTTAATTATCAGGATTTGCACAGCGGAATGAGCCGCCAACTATTCAAGCATATGTTTTACGCAGCGGATGCCCTTCCAGCCACATCCCAGTACTGGGAAATTATTCTAATTATTTTATTATTATTAATTTTATATAATATTAATGAATTATGTCTTTTTATCATCATAATTTTAATATTTTAAAGCCCTTATTTTGTTTAATGACTATGATGCTAATAAAATGTTGCAATTGTGATAGACATCTCACTTTTCTTCAAATCAGTAACTGTTTATTTTACACATTTATCCTTACACATTTCATGTAGTTACTAGGGCAATTACAGTAAAATGTGCATAATTGCATGCAAAAAACAAAACAAACCACCAATGCTATAGTTCATAAAAAGCTGTATGATTTTTTAAAAATGTATTATTATTAATTTTTTTTTTTTTTTTTTTTTTTTTTTGTCCGATTTGTACCTGATCTGCAGTTTCAGATGAGTCGTGTGGTTCTGCAGTGTGGACGTTCGTCTGTGAGCTGCTCTGTGAGGATTTCTGTCAGCCGGACGATCCCCCGCTCATCCTGCAGGAGCAGAAAGCTCTTCTGGCACCGGCACTCGCTCTACTGTCAGCGTTACACTCCAGCCTGCACACGCACATCAGTAAGAAACACACACTTTACACACACTTACATTTTTACTGTTTTACTGCTTACATTGTTTAGCCACTTCAGCATTATGACTTACTTTAAAGGTCTGTTTACAGTTGAAGTCAGAATTATTCTTTTTTAAATATTCCTCAAATGATGTTTAACAAAGCAAGGGAATGTTCACAGTATGTCTGATAATATATTTTTCTTCTGGAGAAAGTCTTATTTGTTTTATTTTGGCTTTTATAAAAGCAGTTTTTAATTTTTTAAAAACCATTTTATGGTCAAAATTATTAGCCCCTTTAAGCTTTTTTTTCCCGATAGTCTACAGAACAAACCATCACTATACAATAACTTGCTTAATTACCTTAACCTGCTTAACCTAATTAACCTAGTTAACCTTTAAATGTCACTTTAAGCTGTATAGAAAAATATATAGAAAAATAGTATTTACTGTCATCATGGCAAAGATAAAATAAATCAGTTATTAGAAATGAGCTATTAAAACTATTATGTTTAAAACATGTTGAAAAAAATATTCTCTCCGTTAAACAGAAATTGGGGAAGAAAATAAACAAGGGGGTTAATAATTCAGGAGAACTAATAATTCTAAGTTCAACTGTATACATGAAAAAAGTTTTCCTGGTTAGGTGCATGCAACAAGTGGCCACATTTTAAAATTAATTAAATTAAAAAAAGATTTTAATTAATGGCAAATCGTTCAACCGACTCTGCATTGACTTTTTTTTGAAAGAAAGATAGGCAGTGTCCGAAACCGCCTACTACTCAGTAGGTACTGCATTTGAATTTAAACGTACTACCCGGCCGTTAGAAAAGTACGTTCTATACAGTATGAATGTGAAAAGTATGAATGGAATTCGGACGTACTACATCCGCCATTTTGTCATGGTCACGTGACCTGCCTGCGTCAGTTGCGTCGATTTTCTCCCATTCATGAATTCGCTCACGGGGCATCATGTGATAGCGCAGCATGCATGGGATGCGCACTCTAGAATCTCGCCAGAAGTAGTAAGTCATCCGGGTACTTCTCGCATACTGTTTTTCGAATTCTATGAATTCGGACATACTACTCTGCTCACATACTGATTTTAGCATACTATATAGTATGGAAGTATGCGGTTTCGGTAGCATCGAAAGAAACGGTAGCTTTATACTGTGCTTTCACAATTGCCTCAAAACCCATAAGGGCTCTTTATTGTGTGATAAGTCTTTAAACAGTGGGTATAAACGACTTTTAGGGATAAAGTTTTCTCAGTTTAAATGAGAACAGGCTTAGAAGATAGGCTATACAGGGCTTGAAATTGCGACCATTTTGGTCACATATGCGCCTGAAATCGAATCTATACAACCTTATAATATATTTGGGAGCATTTGTGCGACTGCATATAATGGTTGTAGTGCGACCTGTTTTGATTTTTTTTTTCTTAAAAAGATCTGAATCACTCTTCCCTGCTGCTATATTGGTTCATATTAGCTGTTAATCACTCAAGGATTTCTACTGTCAGATGACAGGGAGCTTTTGTGACCGCAGGAAATGCAAACGGCTGTAGTTTGAGGAAGACGCAATAAAAACTTACACAGGTTTCCAAACACACCTAAAATTACAAATAATGGCGCAGATGAGAGCGATCTTGTGGTAAATGCTGATCCACCAGCCCAGATCAATCAAGTGTTTTTAGAGAGAGTGCTGAAAGACTGAGTGGATGTTTAATGGCCCGAATTTCGATACGATGCATTTACTACGTGTTCAGAGCAAATATCCGCTACTGTAAATCTTTTCACTGTATACCTCATTGCTAAAGTGACTCGCCTTTACTAAGTTTAAACTGAAACTGCAGCTCATGACAAAGAAGGGTACTGTGCAAGTGGTCATCGTGAGAATCCTGCTCCACCCTGCTCATACAGGATATTGAGCTGGCTGACTGGCTCGTTTTTTTCCACAAACTCTGAAAAACGTAAATCGACACATCGCAGAAATATTATTTGTTAATTAAATTGACATGCATATAAAAACAATAGCGCAAAATGGAAATCTCTTACTGCAATGCTTCATTTTTGTTTGATATAATATATAGATTTATTTATCATAATTTAGCAGACAACTCGTCACCTTAGAATTACAAGGTTCTATCTGACATTTTTGTCAAAATTGAAAATTTTCATATATTGTTTACATTTTAAGACTTTTTATTTTAAAAAAACAAATGTTACACACATACTGTTTACTATGGAATGCAAAAACTTTGAAGGTATCTCAAAATCGTTCAGAACGCAGATAGATTCTTATAATTCCAAGGTGAAAACTCTCATTCAAGCACATTCAAAGCAGTTGGTATTAGTTAGTGTTTGTATTATCGTCATCATTATTATTTTATAAACATTAGACATTCATTTTAGAATTATTGCACAAATATTAAGTCATTACAGAATTAGTTAGATAGTTGTTTCGGGTTTTTGTTTGTCCTGATTGAGGCTGTTTTCAAATACAATAAATCTGTTAATATATAATTTGCAGTGGTGCTCATGCATTTTTTGTGGGTGCTCCTAAATGTTTTCTGGTACTCCTACATTTTTAAATTTGGGAGCAGCGGTGCTACCAAGTAAAAAAGTCAATTTCGAGCCCAGGTATGTCATGTGTCACCAGCTAACAAGCGGATTATATTGTGGTTTAAGCTCATAATTTGCGTTTATTTTTTAACAGGTGCAGAATTATTAGGAAGTCTTATTCGCATCCTGCAGTTCAATGCTGAAAACCATCAGAGTCACACTGCTGGAAACTCAGAGGAGAGTCACAGAGATGATGATGAACAGCTCAAAGCTTTAGTTGAAACCACTGCTGAGTTTCTCTCTGACGTTCTTTTGGAGCTCCAGAAGGTAAAACTGCCAGCTGTTCAAATCCACCGTATAAAATAGGAATAATTTATTCAATTATATCTTGAGGCGTATTACATTATAACAACATACTTTATATTATGATGCAATAAAAAATCAATAAAAATATATAATGTAATAGTTCTGTATAAGTAACAATATAATAAGTAATTAGGAAATTGTATTAAGTAATATTCAATATAAGTAATACATGTTTATAAGTAAATTAAACACCTATTTTTACTCAGTATACTTGCAGGTATGCAGTTTGAAAGTTTACCAATATAAATATAAATTATAAATTATAAAATAATAAATAAATATACAAATAATAAATTTCATTAATTAATAAAATTCTGTTGTTTGACATTATATTATGAACTATAAAAAAGGTGTAGACTGGGTGAAACGATATGGGTTAAAAAATAAATACACAATAGACCCTTTTCTGGTGTCATGTGGTGTCTGGTTTCACGCCATGCAGTGTATCTTTACTTCCACTTACATAGAACTCCTCATAGCAAATTCCCCCAGTCAGCTGTATATTTACTACAGATTTGGTTAGATGGTCATTACGGCTGTTTTCTAACAATAAGAAGACTGCATTTCAATTATAAGATTTAGATGCAGTATTATTAGATTATGAAATTATTTGTAACATTATTTATTAGGGTCAAAGGTATAAAGATATTAAGTTAAAATCACCCAGTAGGTGGCGGCAGGACACTGACTGGTCTTAAAGGTGCAGTAGGTGATTGTACTCAGAAGCACTTTTTGTTGTGCTGGTTGAAAGTTTCTTCACAGTCTAATAGTAATGATTAAAGTAAATGATCTAAATGTATTTATATGTATTTTTATATTCTAGGTAAGGCATAAAACTAAAATATGTTCATCCAATTAAATAGAGTCGGACCGACATCTCTCATAATTCCGATAAGTAACTCAAACTGTCAGTCAACAAATGCAGATTTGGGCTTTTGCGCATCTCTGGTCACGCAAATCGGCCATTAGCATGTGCATGCCTGCCTAGATGAGAGACACGTGCACGCGAGACTTTCACAGTTGCAGCAAAATCAAAAGCTGAATTGAAACTTTTTAAACTCCTGAATCAGTATTGGAGTTACTTTTGCACGGTGGAGTAAGGACGACACCATGGCTGAAGTATTTCTGTTGGAGACGTATATTGATAGCAGCATTAAAGTTCAAATAAATCCATTATTGAGGAAATAAACTGAATTTTAAAAAAGTGAAAAGGCTGCAAACATATAATTTTCTTAATAAACAATAGCTCATTCCTATTCTTAATAACTTAAGCAATGATTTTCAAACTCAGAAGACAGTATTGAAAGAGAAACATTTTTACACGTGCCCAATACTGTAATAGTCTTAAATCACAATGTACAATGTTAATAGTGTCCTATTCATTGAAATGTAAACCGAAACTAAAAATACGTCATTGAAGTGACGTCATTGTGAAAAGGGTCTATAGAATTGCAATTGAAAAGCGATTAATCCATATAGCCCTCCGCTTTAGACTTTGCGCCTAGATTGTAAAATAGAGCACTATCTAGTTTTTTGGGTCTATGTTATAAAATGTAAATTTACAAATGGTGAATTAACCATATAATATGTAAAAGATGCCAAAAGGAAAAATATGTCTCATGTAAAGCTTAAGTAAAAGAGGAAATAACTTAAAGTAATTGCCGAATGATGTGTGTGGTAACGGGGTGGGGAAAAAAATAAGCTTGCGCTTCATCCTGCTCCATTTTGACTATAGCCCCTTTCACACATACAGACCTTTCCGGAAAATTACCGGCAATTTTCCGGAAAGGTTGTATGTGTGAACAGGCCCTTTTTGAAAATACTGGTAAATTCGTTCTGGCTATTTCCCGTAAAAAAAAGTTGTAACATTACCGGTAATTTGCCGGAATGCTGCGCTGTGTGAATGCAGAAGGAAGATTGCTGGAAAGAGCGCGTCCACGTCTAGAACGCGCTGACGTGAGACACCTGCTTTAGCCAATCAGAACAGTCACACGCATTCACGTGCGCGGGGTTTATGAGAATAAAAGCCTTTGAATATTTTTCCAGACACCTTTAGCTGCTTGATGTTAGTAAGATAACGTTTCGATGTTCCTTCTTAATGCTAACTGTGTAAATAATTATCGATAAAATGTTTATGATAATCCGTTGTTTGTTTACCTTCAAGCTTTGCGTGTGCCCGTGAGCGCCCATAGCGCCAGCACACACACATATCATGAACATCTCGACATGCGAAAGTGTTCCTCTATATGTTTTTATTGTAGTTGTACTCGATACTGATCCATCCAAATAGTTTGTAATGTAGTCAAATGTTTACAAACACAAGGGCAGCCATTTAGAGGTTAATGATGTCAGAATTTACCGGCATTTTGGAATGGATGTGTGAATGCTCTTTTCCGGAAAAATTCCGTAACGTCCTCGTCTGTGTGAACAGCGCTTTTTTGAATTTACCGGTAAAGTCGTTCCGGAAATTTTCCGGATATTTACCGGTATCACTGTGTGAAAGGGGCTAATGATTACATGTATTTTGTTTAAAGAATTGTTTTAGGTGTATAATTTTGATGTGTTCTCAAAAAATAAATCAAATCAAATTATAGTAAACTCTCTGTGATCTTCAGGATGTGTTACTTTCGGTGGTCAGGTCAGGTCATCTGTCAGAGAAGAGCTGTGTTTCTGCTGTGAGCTGCCTGTTACCTCAACACACAGCAGCGGTATGATCTCCTCTGCTGTTTTTCTTCTATATGTGCCTCTGCATGGACTGATCAGAGTTGTGTGTTTTCTCATCTACAGGTCCAGCATCTGGTTAGTTTATTGTCAGACGTGAACCCCATACTGTCAGACATTATAAAGAAAGATTTCTCCATTTCTTCCAACAAGTCGAGCTGAAATGGTTCTGGGACACAAAAGACTGGAGATGAGTTTACTATCTTCTGTGAATGGACTGAATTGTGCTTTAGATAGGATACATTAGCTTTCTTAGGAGATGTTATATAAGTATTCATTTAAATTGTGTATGTTATTGATTGGTTTGTATACTGCTGACATCTCTGCTCACTAAACATAACTTGTTTTATACATTTTTATTAGTATTACTTGCTGTTGTACATTCATAATTTCACAAAAATAGTTAGAGTAGCTCATGGTTTTGGCTTTTAAAAATTAGTTTAAAGGATATTTTAATCAGAAATGACAATTTACTCACATTCAAGTTGTTCTTTTTTCTGTTGAACACAAAAAGAAGATAATTTGAAGAATGTTTAAACCCGGCAGCCTTAAAAAATCTATAATAAAAATAGGAAAATACTACATAAATCAAATATGTCCAACCAGTTTCTAAAAGTCTGCTTTTGATATATAAAATTGTAACAAATATGAGTAAATGATGACAAAAAAATTATTTATGAGTCAACGACTAGTTTTAAGTCACTGAAAGATTTGTTTTTTATTTAGGGTTTGTCCATCGTGTTTTCCAGTCTTTCAAGCATATTTCACTTGATCTAAATTCTGTTGTTAATTTTAGATTCAGTCATTTAATTTAGATTAGTATTTCTTTAAATGTGTAATTTTCTGAAGGGAAAAAAGCTCTAAAGGACAACATTTTTAATAGAAATGTGGACGAAAAGATTTGGCCACAGCCATATCACCCTGTAGCCCAAGACCATTTACTCACTGAAACTAAGCAGGGCTGAGCCTGGTCAGTACCTGGATGGGAGACCACATGGGAAAACTAGGTTGCTGTTGGAAGTGATGTTAGTGAGTCCAGCACGGGGCGCTCAACCTGCAGTCTGTGTCCTAATGCCCCAGTAAAGTATAGGGGACACTATACTGTCAGTGAGCGCCATCAAAAACGTCATTCAAAATCCCATGGCACTTCTCGTAAAGAGTAGGGGTGTAACCCTGGTGTCCTGGCCAAATTCCCTCCTTCGACCCTAACCCATCATGGCCTCCAAATCACCCCCATCCACCGAATTGGCTTGATTACTGTCTTTCCAGTCCACCAATAGCTGGTATATAGTAAGCGCACTGGTGCCATTGTCCTGTGGCTGCCGTTGCATCCTCCAAGTGGATGCTGCATACTGGTGGTGGTATGGAGAGACCCCCTCTCATGATGAGTGTTTGGGTGTATGTATATAAATACACATTACATCACATTTTACTCAAACACATTCCCTAACTATTCTATGCCATTGAATGCCATTGGCTCTCACACACCAGTCAAGCTTGATTAAACTTCCGTGACCAAATCTAAAGCCTTTAAACATCCTTTGCTAATATTCATAAGCATAAATTCATTTTAATTTCCCAACCATCGGGAAAAAAACTTCCAGCACACAATAGTAAACACACAGCGATGTTGTTTTTACACACATTCAAAAGGCTCTAAAGGACAATATTTTTGATAGAAATGTGGACGAAAAGTTATCAAACATTTATAGAATAAAACAAATATTACCATATTACTCAAACACATTCCTAACTAATCCATGCCATTGAACGTCATTGACTCTCACACACCAATCAAGCTTGAATAAACTTCCACAACCAAATCTAAAAGCAAATAAATGCCTAAATTCATTTAATTACCAAACTATTAGGAAACAAAAACTTACAGCACACAATAGTGAACATACGCTGATGTTGTTTTTACACATTCAAGTGTTTTCTGGAGGAAAAAAAAGCTCTAAATTACAATATTTTTACTAGAAATGTGGACAAAAAGTTAGCAAACATTTAGAGAATAAAACAAATATTAACATATTACTCAAACACATTCCTAACTAATCCATACCATAGAACATCATTGACTCTCACACACCAATCAAGTTTCCGCGACCAAATCTAAAGCCTCTAAACATCATCCTTTGCTAATATTCATATGCCTAAATTTATTTGAATTTCCAAACCATCAGAAAAAAAACTTCCAACACACAATAGTGAACATACGCTGATGTTGTTTTTACACATTCAAGTGTTTTCTGGAGGAAAAAAAAGCTCTAAATTACAATATTTTTACTAGAAATGTGGACAAAAAGTTAGCAAACATTTAGAGAATAAAACAAATATTAACATATTACTCAAACACATTCCTAACTAATCCATACCATAGAACATCATTGACTCTCACACACCAATCAAGTTTCCGCGACCAAATCTAAAGCCTCTAAACATCATCCTTTGCTAATATTCATATGCCTAAATTTATTTGAATTTCCAAACCATCAGAAAAAAAACTTCCAACACACAATAGTGAACATACGCTGATGTTGTTTTTACACATTCAAGTGTTTTCTGAAGAAAAAAAAACTCTAAATGACAAAATTTGGACTAGAAATGTGGACAAAAAGCTATCAAACATTTATAGAATAAAACAAATATTAGCATATTACTCAAACACATTCCTAACTATTCCATGCCATTGAAGGTCATTGACTCTCACGCACCAATCAAGTTTTCGAGACCAAATCTAAAGCCTCTAAACATCATCCTTTGCCCAAGTTCAAGTGCTTTCTGGAGAAAAAAAGCTCTAAATAACAATATTTGTACAAAAAAATGTGGACAAAAAGCTATTAAACATTTATAGGATTAAACAAATCTTAACTAATCCATACCATTGAACGTCATTGACTCTCACACACCAATCAAGCTTAATTAAACCTCCGTGACCAAATCTAAAAGGCCAATAAATGCCTAAATTTATTTGAATTTTCAAACCATCAGAAAAAACTTCCAACACACAATAGTGAACACACACTGATGTTGTTTTTACACATTCAAGTTTTGTCTAAAGAAAAAAAAAAACTCTAAACAACAATATTTTTATTATAAATGTGGATGAAAAGCTGTCAAACCTTTATAGAATAAAACAAATATCAACATATTACTCGAACACATTCCTAACTAATCCATGCCATTGAAGGTCATTGACTCTCACACACCAATCAAGCTTTAATAAACTTCCACAACCAAACCTGAAAGCCAATAAATGCCTACATATATTTTAATTTCCAAACCATCAGAAAAAAACTTCCAGCACACAATAGTGAACACACACTGATGTTGTTTTTACACATTCAAGTTTTGTCTAAAGAAAAAAAAACTCTAAACAACAATATTTTTAATATAAATGTGGATGAAAAGCTGTCAAACCTTTATAGAATAAAACAAATATCAACATATTACTCAAACACATTCCTAACTTATCCATGCCATTGAACATCATTGACTCCCACACACTATTTAAGCTTGATAAAACTTCCGCAACAAATCTAAAAGGCCAATAAATGCCTAAATTCATTTTAATTTCCAAACTATTAGGAAAAAAAAACTTCCAGCACACAATAGTGAACACACACCGATGCTGTTTTTACACACATTCAAAAAGCTCTAAAGGACAATATTTTTGATAGAAATGTGGATGAAAAGCCATCAAACATTTATAGAATAAAACAAATATTAACATATTACTCAACACATTCCTAACTAATCCATGCCATAGAACATCATTGACTCTCACACACCAATCAAGTTTCCGCGACCAAATCTAAAGCCTCTAAACATCATCCTTTACCCAAGTTCAAGTGTTTTCTGGAGAAAAAAGCTCTAAATGACAATATTTTTACTAGAAATGTGGACAAAAAACTATCAAACATTTACAGGATAAAACAAATCTTAACTAATCCATAACATTGAACATCATTGACTCTCACACACCAATCAAGCTTGATTAAACCTCCGTGACCAAAACTACAAGGCCAATAAATGCCTAAATTAATTTTAATTTCCAAACTATCCGGAAAAAAAAACTTCCAGCACACAATAGTGAACACACATCGATGTTTTTTTTACACATTCAAGTGTTTTGTGCGGGGAAAAAACTCTAAACAACAGTATTTTTATTAGAAATGTAGATGAAAAGCTATCAAACATTTATAGAATAAAACAAATATTAACATATTACTCAGACACATTCCTAACTTATCCATGCCATTGAACATCATTGACTCTCACACATCAATACAGCTTGATTAAACTTCCGCGAGCAAATCTAAAAGGCCAATAAATGCCTAAATTCATTTCAATTTCCAAACTATCTGGAAAAAAAAAACTTCCAGCACACAATAGTGAACATGCGCTGACGTTGTTTTTACGCACATTCAAGCGTCCAGCGCTCTAAAAACCCCGTCAGGTGTTCCTGAAACGTGCGGGCCGCGTCCAGCCTGTGATATTACTCATTTGCTTTCCAAAAGGCCTGTATCATCAGAGCGTACCGACTGCGCACTTGTGACGCCAGCAGGAATATAACAGCTCTTTAATTAACCGTCTGGATTGATATGCAGAGCGCAGTGCATTCTCATGGAAATCCAGCACGTAGGAGGAGGACCTGAGAGAGACACTCGGGCTGAATGCGGGCTCATTTTAATTTCGAGCGAGGAGACCGTGGTTGGGATGGAAATGCACGATGTTGGAGAAGTTTTGATTGACGTGTTTGGGTTTTTTTTAGCTTTACCTGAGGCTGATCTGACAGATGTGCTGCGGGGTGATTTTTGATCCAGACCGCTGCGTTCATCAGCTCAATCTTGGACGTAATTTGAACTGACGGAGAACTGGAGAAGTGCTGTTCATGTGGAAGAGGAAGATGATTGGCAGCTGTCAATCATCTTTTCACTGATGACCAGATCTCCTGAGTTGATGATGATGTGGAACATGGCCTAAAATGAACAACAAATAACAATAACAACAACAAAATTTTGTTGTTATAACAACAAAAGTCAGTTGGACCCGGATGCACACAATATTTGCACCTACTGTAACTATTTTTTTCATTTTAAATTGACAAATCATGATTTATTGATAAATAAATTGACAAACAGATAAGCAGAGAAATTTAAAGACAAAATAATGTTAAGAGCACTTTGTTTTGATCACATTTGACCGTCGAAATATTTCCATTAACCTTACATGTTAATGTTTTTTTACTATGTATACTATGTATACTACTATGACAAAAGTCTTGTTGCCTATGCAAGTTTTAGGAACAGCCAATCCCGGAGCACCTTGACCTTCTTTGCTTT